GAGTAGAGAGAGAGAGATTTTTGTTTTTTTGTTTTTTTTTTTGGGAGGGGGGGGGGTTCATGGACCGGTTCACTATCTCAAGCCATCAACTTCCCTAGCATTGTTGGTGAGCATCTCTAATGTTAAGGGAGGCAGGACAAGAAAGGTAGAAAAATTGACAAAGGCCTTCGGGATCAGAAGACTCAAAACAAAATCCTCAGTGCGATCAAAAGGCTATAAAAGCACCGAAAACATTCTAGGAGAATGAAGCACACAGGGATATTGATAGGCAAAGCTCACAAGTAACCACAAAAAAAGAGGTGTAAAAGTTAGGAATTCTTACGCTCATTTCATCCACGTCTATCATCAGGTAAACCAAGTTGGGATATCTCTCAGAAAGCTCCCCATAAAAGGGTGCGATTACTCTACAAGGACCACACCAAGAAGCACTAAAATTTGCTACAAGCTGCACAAAAGGAAAAGTAAACAGAGGTTCAAACATAAACTAAACATCCATTTTATACAACAAAAAGGTGCCTCAGTCAAATACACAAAAAAATTTCATAAAAAGCTAGATGGAAAACCTCATAGAGAATAATAGGAAACCTACAAAGCACAATGCATATTAATTTCATAAACATTGACAATGTGATCTTGCCACACTCTAAGATGAGGAAAAGGCAACCTAGAAAGAAGCAGAAATTAATGGATCTTCTATTCTGCTTTAAAGTTTCAGAAGTCTATAGAACTTTACTGGCTGTTTGCCAGCCTCATAACTTCACGACCTCTTTCTTTTGAGATAGTCAACAACTTTGTAACATTTTCTTTTTATACATTAGAAAGAAATGAACACACATGCAAACACACACATACACACATATACATACATTCAACTTAATTTCATTGATGGGGATATAAAAGGGTATATACATCAGGTGAAACAAAAGGAAGATGTATACACAGAGATCAATCAGACAAGGAACCTGCAAAAAAGGGATCTCCATGAACACTCAATCTAGCCAGGACAACAGCCCAAATTCACAAATGTGTGTTCATGTGGTGTGTGCATATGTGTGTGTGTGTTCATGTGCTGTGGGAAAGATAACTATGTATTTGTGGAATCATACAATTGCGAGACTTGTGAAAGTCAATAAATTTATCACTGGATGGATTTACTGAGACAGCATACATTTGCAGGAAAACAGTTGAAACTAAACAGGGGGGACTCAGTAAAGTCTTCGTAGAAGTGGCAGGCAACTAGTATGCTTTTACCAACAACATCATCACCTATTAAAAAAAAGATGAGTAGCTGAAATTACAACCCATATCGACATTAGGTGACCCAGACATGCATTTTTTTATAAACCATTATACAATAGCAATTGTGTGTGTGCATGTATTTGTGTGAGTGTGTGTGTGTGTGTGTGTGAGAGAGAGAGACAGAGAGAGAGAGAGAGAGAGAGCATGAGCCGAGG